CCAGGCCCCTCTGAGAGTGGCACACCCAGGACATGTGCCCCCTCCCCTGCCCTCTCTCTCGAGCCAGGCCTGTTTTCTACTTGCACACTCGGGATGACGAAGTTTTCCTCAAGGATTGGAAAGGTGCCCCCTGCTCCCTCTGGCAGCACTCAGGCCCCTGGCAGGGGCTCAGGGCCTTGCTCAACACCCGCCAGCCCTCAGCAACAGCTCGTGTTCTGGGACAGCCAAACTTCACCCCGCTGCCCCCACCACACCTGGATCTCCTGGGGGCTTCCACATCTGTCCCTCTCCACGCACAGAACACGGACAAACCTCTGTGCCCCTCTTGGGGAAAGTAAGTTCTGCAGGGAAATAACCCTATTTCCCAATAGCAAAGGAAAAAGTGCTGATCTAATGCTACATTCACACTGAAGTTTTGGGGTGTGTTAGCAACTGCCTTGACCAACTGCAATTGAGCTCATGGACTGGGTTTGGGTGTTTAACCAAATCTGACAGCTTGGTGCACACCATCAATCTATTTTAGATCAATCTAGAAGCACCAGCTGCATTCTGAGAGAGCACCAAGCTGTGCAGGGAGGGAGGTCACTGAAACCTTCCCATTCCACTATTAATTATTTGTAGTCACCCTACGTGGACTGGGACAGAAAAGCTGGGCTGCCCAGGGCCAGCTCCAGCAGCTGCACAGAAATGCACAGCTGTGGAATGCCAAAGGCAGGAATCCCCTCCTTGGGCTCCTCCATGGATTGCTTTGCACACAGAGAGCAGGGCCAGAGTTCACCAATCCCATCAGCTGCAGAGTTCACAAGGGTCCAGATGTGGCACTGTGCAGGACAGCTGTGTGACAGGGTGGTTGTGTGAGAGCTCGATCCCTGAGCTCAGCACCATCAGCAGCCCCTTCCCAAGGTCTTACCCACGCTGCATCCTGAAAAACTTCTGCTCCAAGCAGCTTATGGGCTGGCAGCTATTAAATTCACAGAATATCCCACGTTGGAAGGGACCAACAAGGACTGAGTCCAGCTCCTGGCCCTGCACAGACACCCCAACAATCCCACTGTCCCCTAGAGGATCATCCAAACCCTCCTGGAGCTCTGGCAGCCTTGGGGCCGTGCCCACTGCCCTGGGGAGCCTGGGCAGTGCCAACCACCCTCTGGGGGAAGAGCCTTTCCCTGATACCCAGCCTGGAATGCAAAGCCATTCCCAGCAGAGCCAGGTGACAACAGGACCCAGCAGCCCGTGCTTTGGGCAGGTCTGTCTGTCCACCAGGAACAGGGTGTGCTGGCTGAGACCCTGCCAGGTGCAGCAGAATTCCCCACAGGGATCCCTTCAGGAGCAGGAAGCGGGATAATGACTCCTCAGAAGTTCTGCCTCACTACTTCCTGTGAGAATTTTAATTGCTAATTTATTCTTTGTTGCAAAAAAACGTACTTGCTGCCGGAGCAAATAATCCCAGAATTAGTAAAAAAGGTACTGCAGAACACCAAAACTCAACAAAAGCAACAACTCTTCACCTACACAAATGATCTGGGGTTTGATTAACACCTCTGATGTCTCAGCTGCAGGACAGAAGGACAGAGATCAGCACTTTTCTTCCATCCAAAACAGTCCTAAGTACTAAATAATTACAACAAATAACTCTCACAAGGCCCCCCCTGCCCACACCAACACACCTGCAAGACCTACAGCCTCCCTAAGTGGTTTTCCTTAAAATCTGAAAAGCAGCTGAATTCCCAACTTCCCATTCAGAGCTGCCTCTCCCAAAGCTTTGAACCAGAACTTCCTCCCCACAGCCAAAGCAGCTGAGCAGAGCTGCCCTTTGTTTTACTCTCTCACCTTTCCCTCTGAGCACTTTTGGGGGAGGAGGATGAAGAAATTTCCCTCTCTGATTATCCCCCCAATCCATCCCAACCTGATTACAGCTCCAAGGATCACATCCTAAAGAGCCCGTGAGCAGGACCCAGCCCTGGGACAGCTGAGCCTGCTCAGGAGGGGAGCTGATGACAGTTCATGGAATAACCTGGAGCCTGGACTCACCCAAGGCTGGGAGGGCAGACCTGATCAGGGCTCTCAGAAGGCACCAGACAGTGGTTAAGGCCCAGGTGCAAACAAAACCACTTTCAGAGCCAAACCTTCCAACAGGCCTGTGTTGGAACAGGGGGTTGGAACCAGATGATCTTTAAGATCCCCTCCAACCCAAACCATTCCCACCCGATGTTCCAATCGCTTGTCTTGCCTCCTGTATTTTTAGGATTTACAAATTAAGAACAAGCAGTAAATAAGCAGCTTACAAGGCACTGCAGGCAGCTCGGGGCGAGTGGTTCGTGTCTGCTCTACTCTCAAACAAGGTGACCAGTCCTGAGGAGCAAATTCTGTGCCAAAAGGTGCAGTGGAAGAACCAGCCAGAGGTCTTTTAATTTTGTTTCTGCTACTCCGAGTTCTCCCGTGCCCAAGTCTGCAGTCTGATCATTTCAGTGTCACAGGCTTTTGGAGAGGGCTCTGAAGCAGCACAATACTGAATGGAACTGGATGGTCCATAAGGTCCCTTCCAACCCAAGCCTTTCTGTGACTGCTAACACACCTCAGAAGAACCCGACCTGCATCAGGTTATTGCTCTGAAGGCACAAAACCCCCTGGAATCCTTAAACCCGGGATTTTCCTGCCTGGAGCCCGTCCCACGCAGAGGACAGCAGAGGGGAGCTCAGGAGGGTGGCATGGCTGGGGGACATGGGGGGTGAGGGGAGGCTCCCGGTGCCCCCCCCTCCCCGTGAGGAGCCCCTGATGAGTCACTGGAACAAAGTCCCCCAGGTGGGTTCACAGAATCGCAGAACGCTCTGGGTTGGAAGGGACCCACAGGGTCCCATCGCTGCTCACAGAGAGCACAGCTCAGTGCCTGCCCCTCCGCTTCCCCTCACGGGCACGTTGTAACTGCAACGAGGTCTCCCCTCAGCCTGAACACACCAAGCGCCCTCGGCCGCTCCTCACGCGGCTTCTTCCCCTCAGGGCCCTTCAGCATCTCCGCTGCCCTCCTCCGGACGCTCCCTAATGGCTTTAATCCTCTTCTTACGCTGTGGCGGCCAGAACTGCACACAGGACTCACGGTGAGGGGAGCGGAGCGGGACGGTCGCGGTGCCCGGGCCGGGGG